CTGCACGTAGCGGTACATCCCGCGCCAGAAGTAGCGTTGTCGAATGCGACGGTAGGTTTTGAATACCCCAGAGTGCGCGCATTGCGGATCAGAATGGAAGGATTCACATATCTCTGACCGCAGACTGCGGGGTATCACGAGTAACCACTGCCGGCCATCGGCGTCGTAATTGCGTCGGGGTAGAAGGCCGTCACGGATGGCGAAATGGCGAGCTTGACGACGCAAGGCACGCGTGGATGGCGTTGCGGATGGATCAGAGAGCAAGTCGATGAGCGGGCCGATCGAATTATCCTTTCGCTGTTCGGTAGCGATGATGTCAACATCAATGGCAGAAACAGCAGCCGAGGATACTGAGCAAAGCACATCACCTTCAGGCAGAGGGGAGCGCGAGAGGGCGTCGGCGTCAGCATGCTGGCGTCCGTTGCGGTACAGCACGCGGATGTCATAGTCTTGTAAGCGAAGAGCCCAACGGGCGAGACGGCCTGAGGGATCCTTCAATGATGAAAGCCAGCATAGTGCATGATGGTCGGTGACGACATCGAATGGGCGACCATACAAATAAGGTCGAAACTTTGTAAGGGCCCAGACGATCGCCAGGCACTCTTTCTCCGTGACGGTGTAGTTTGTCTCGGCTCTCGTGAGCGTACGGCTTGCATATGCTACGACATATTCAGAGAATCCGGGTTTGCGCTGCGCCAGGACAGCGCCAAGGCCTACACCACTGGCGTCTGTGTGCACCTCCGTCGGGGCCGTAGGGTCGTAGTGGCGTAGAATGGGAGGAGACGTCAGCAAATGGCGGAGCTTCGCGAACGCGTCGTCGCACTCAGACGACCACGAATTGAGGGGCCCGTTACTTCCAAGGAGCTTCGTCAGCGGTGATATAATCGTAGCAAAGTTTCGTATGAAGCGTCGGAAGTATGAGCACAGGCCCACGAAACTACGCAGTTCTTTGACGGACGCAGGTTTGGGGAATTCAGCCACGGCCCGAAGCTACGGCCCGAAGTTGCGCAGAACGGTGTCCATCATGCGCTCAAAGGTCGCAGGTGCATTACATAGACCAAACGGCATGACGTTGAATTCGTACAAGCCGTCGGGTGTGATGAACGCAGTCTTCGGTCGAGCGTCATCAGCCATGGGTACTTGCCAGTACCCCGAGCGCAGATCGAGAGAAGAAAAAAATTCGGCTCCGTGAAGGCTGTCAATTGCGTCATCGATGCGCGGCAGTGGGTACACATCCTTGCGAGTGATCTTATTGAGCCGTCTGTAGTCCACACAGAACCGCACAGACCATCTTTCTTCGCGACAAGAACAACAGGAGACGCCCATGGACTGTCCGAGGGCCGAATAACGTCGCGTCTGAGCATATCATCAACCTGCTCGTTAATTTCCCGACGTTCAGCAGGGGACACGCGGTAGGGACGTTGCCGTAATGGTGGATGGGCACCAGTGTCGATACGATGTGTAACAGCGGACGTGCGACCGAGAGAACTTCGCCCGACATCGAAAGAAGAATGATATTCTCGCAGCAGGTCCAGAAGCTGGGAACGCTGTACCGACGTAAGATTGTCATCAATGTAAGGGCCAAATACATCAGGAGATGATGAATCATAAGTGGAAACAGCGCTGACGGTACACGAACTGGGACAACGCGAGTCATCAGGTACGTCCAGGACTTGTGCGTTATCCACTGGTTCCACTCTGCCGAGACATTCCCCTCGAACCAAGGTAACAGTGTACGGGGATTGGTTGGTCACAAAAATAGCGGCGTTGCTCTGGGTGATTTGCACGGTCGCGAAATGTACCAGGAACCCTTTCTTTCGGCAAGCACGGTCGGATGGCGAAACGAGTGCAATTGTGTCGGAGAGTCCAGCGCAGTAGACAGATACACCCATTGCCGAACTTGGAGGCACTATGGTATCGTCTTTCACGAGAATCTTACTCAGTGTCGAGGGACTGTCTTCCGGCGTCAAATGCGAGAAGGGTGAGAGTTCAATTTCGGCAGCGGCACAATGGATGACGGCGTCGTTGCGGGAGAGAAAATCCCACCTCAGGATGACGTCATGAGAGCATGCAGGAATGATGATGAATTGGCCGACATACAGAACGTCCTGAACGACAACGCGAGCTGTGCACTCTGCTGAAGGATGGATACGATGTGAACCGGCAGTACGAAGGGACAACCCAGAAATTGGCGTCGTCACTTTTCGAAGCAAGCGGCAGAAGTTTTCGTCCATAACGGATACTGCAGCTCCAGTGTCAATAAGAGCAGATGCATGAACGCCGTCCACAAGCACGTCTATGACATTAGATGGGCGGCTCTGAGGGCTTTCACATCGCAATAGCATCGCAGTCATTGCCTCGGGGACTGCAACGACTAGTTTTCCCGCTCATGAGTAGCCGAACTTGGCCTCATGGGGGACAGGGAACGACGTCGTGGAGACAGCGACCTTCGAGGAGATGGACCTGGGCGAGACGGCGGTGGCATAGACGGTGGTTCGTCGTGATAGGGACGGCTGAGGTGGCCAGCAATAGGCGAAGAAATTGTAGCCGGCTGTACACGATGGCAATAACGGGCTACGTGACCGGCGTAACCGCAGGCAAAGCAGATGGGCCGGTTGTCGGGTGTGCGCCATCGGTTCGCTGGGGTAGGTCTTGTCCATGACGTAAGAGCCGATGGACGAAACGGTGGCTGGAAAGGCTGCAGGGGGTGCTGGAGCTGAGTCTGAGAGGTCACGTCAACATACGTAGCCGGCATAGCCGCTGTAAAGGATGGAGGTCGTGCGGCAGCTTCGGCGTAAGTCAGTGGGGCGGGCGGTTGAACGACTGGAGGCGGCCTGGCGACCACTTGGGCGTAACTTGGGGGCGCAGGGGCCGGAAGCTGTTGTGGTTGGTACGCCGGCATGACCTCCGCTATTTCCTGCTCAATTGCTCGGCGGATGGGTGGAAGAATGGTAGTGGCCGATTGTTGAGCAGCCGGTGGGTGGGCAAAGGGCAGGAGAGAGAACTGCCGCGCGATTTCCTCACGTATGAAGGACTTGAGGTCTGCCAGCAGTGCCACCTGATGACAGCTCGCCTCCAAGCCTGCAAGCCCTGCATCTCGTGGTGTAGAGCGACGGGTCATCGAACGCTGCCGGCGGAGCTCCTCGTAGCTCTGGCACAGCGTGATGACCTCAGCTACTGTGCCTGGGTTTTTGGCAAGCAGCATCGTGAAGGCATCATCGTCAATGCCCTTCATGACGTTCCGGATCTTGTCTGATTCGGACATGCTGTCGTTGGATTTCTTGCAAAGGTCCAGGACATCTTCTATGTAACTGGTGAATGATTCACCGGCCTGCTGAGCGCGTTCGCGTAAGCGCTGCTCGGCTTGCAGCTTACGAACGGCAGGGCGGCCAAAAACGTTGGTAATAGCGGTCTTGAAATTGGACCAGGTTGCGAAATCGGACGCGTGGTTGTTGTACCACAACCTTGCAACGCCCGCAAGGTAGAACACCAAGTTTGTCAACTTGCCGTCCTCGTCCCATTTGTTGGGGACGCTCACGCGCTCGTAAATAGCGAGCCAGTCCTCCACGTCAGTGCCATCGGCGCCCGTGAAGATGGGTGGATCTCGGATCCTGGGGACACCGGGACAAGGGGGTGGCATGGGAGGAGGCGTTTGCTGAGAGGCGTCATGGGACATTGTAGATTGCAGGGTACGTGAACGCAGTTCCCAGGGCATCAAAGGGGATCGTAGCACCTCCACCAATTTGTTATGGCGTTTATTAGCGGGCAGACAGCGAGTATACACAATGGCGACAGTAACGGCCAAGCACGGACTCTCAGCGCGAGCGGCGTCCTTGTTGGGTAGCCCCACTAGAAGGTACTCAAGAGTTCGACCCATTTCAGAGTTCGGAGGCTTCGCTACAATGTAAATAAACCCGTTAAGTTTGCTCAAAGCTCTCCCCTGGTCCTTGGCTCGACGGAGCGACGGCGATCGGCCCCGCTACCCGCAGACTGCGGTCGCCGCGACGCGCAACAACTGGTTGGCAGCGGTGGGATGCCATCAGCGAACTCCCTTCATCCGCAACAACATACACCCATCAGCTTGTTAAGATTATAAATCTAGATAACCTTAATATATTACTTACCTAACAGTCGCGCAATATTTAGCCAGAGGAATAGCTTTGGCATAATAAATTTCATGACTTTATATTCACCAGAACATTACAAACCAGGCGCTGTTATTGGAGCGTGTCGCTACAAGGTACAGCAAACGTGGTAATATATACGATATATACGTTTTGTCCGGAAGTATTTTTTTATTGTCCCGGAAATACAGCTTATACTGCAAGAGCAGACCTTGTTTCCTCAAGGACGCCGACTGCATAGAAAAAGGACCATGGAAGGAACAAGCTGATAATAAACCGAGTAAAAGCTGCCGCAGCGAAAGCAGATACCTGGCGTTAAATGATGTGAAAATAACTTTCCGGTCTTGCACCGAAACGGCAATGGAACAAGCTGAATAATCGTAAAATTAGAGTCCAAGTTGTTTTTGTAACCAAGAATGACGGACAGATGTGCACGGAGTTGTGCGATAAAGATAATTCTGACGCAGATCATTTATGTACAGCTTCTTTTTGTTTGATGTCGCAATGGCTAGAAAAGTAGGGTTATTCTCATTACTCTGATAATTAAAAAAAGTTTGATACGAAAATTATAACATCTTACGAAGAGCTTACCAAGGTAGAGCGGCAGTACCAATAACATGACTTAATCAATATTATTGTAAATGTTCGTAAAAGCGAAGTTTGAGTTGTGTGTTGAAACTCAGTACCTTTGAAGAATCTTAACGTATATGCATTGTAGCTCGCAAGGCAGACGCTGCCAAACATTATTACTACAATCCCGCGGTGACACGCTTCGGTGTAACAGTGAACTTGACTTCGTGCTAGGTCATACTACAACTCACTATGCCATACGTATTCACAGGCTTTGAAATATAAGACATTGTCAAGGACACTCACCAGCCAGGCAGGTCGGATAGGGCAGTGTCTGCGGTGGTAGTGGCCCGGCTCTGGCGGCGAACTCGCACGCGGGCCTCTGCAGTTCGGCCGAGGACGGCGATCCGGGCGAGTCCCTATCTCCTGCCGCGTTTTCAAGGCGCATCGGGTGCGGCGTCGATCCTCTAGCAGCGCCGGCCGCCGCCGAAGACGAGCCTCCACCGCTGGACGAAGAGACGCACGGGAACCCGGCCAGTTCCTCGTAGGCCGGGAACTCGGCCGCCGCGACGCCGAAGTCTTCGGGGAAGTGCGCCTGCTGATGGCCAGCGGTGGCCCGGTGCTGGGGGTGCCGGTAGTGCGGGGGCGCCTGGGACGTCGATGCCGACATGGCCGCGCGATGTCCGCGATCCCTTTTTATATGGCCAACGTCAGAGGCAGCAGCGGCCGCGGCGTCAGCCGGCGCTGAAGAGACCGCACCGCGGCGAGGGAAGAATTCGAGCGCATAGAAAGAAGCAGCATCCGCTGCTGCTGCAAGCGACAAGTCCAATTTCTGGACGCGCGCGCGCTCCCCGGCGGCGCGCTGCGCGGGAAGCGGAGGCTGCACCGAGGCTTTTCGGCTTCCGCAAAAAAGGGGCGCGCGACCTGCGTGCGTGCGTGAGCACGCGTGCCCGAGGACGTCCCCCTTTCCCTCGTGCCTGTCTTCACCCTCGCCCTGGACACGTCCCGAACAGGGACGACGTCGACGACTTGGCTCCTACTCAGTACACGCTTCCGCTAGTGCACACTTCTGCCTGGAGGAAATAATAAGGGGTGGGTGGGGGGCGCAGTCGACGTTAAAGAAGGGGGGGGGGGAGGCTCGACTGACGCTGCGTTAAAGCAGAAACGGCCAAAGTGCAGAACCGCCAGGGGCTGCACCACGCGCGTGAGCGTGTCGTCGCTCAAGCCGAAGAGCGCGGTCGAGCCGCGGTTCTGGTTCCGGCACGCGGGGTTATTGAAAAGTCTGCTTCTGGCAGATCCTCCCACCCGCTTTGAATTTCTCGACTCCTGCTCTTTCGGTCCTTTTCTTTTTCCCCCCTTCCAGCTCTCTCCTTTTCGATGTCTTCTCCTGGAGAGTCCTTTGCACTGTATTCTTTAGCTCTGCGCTTACTTTTTCTTTCCTTCTAGCCTTTTCGTCCAGGAGTTTCCTTTGTGGAGCTGTGGTCTGGTGATGTTAAGCCCGGTGACAGAAGCGTAAATGCTCACAGAGCAAGAAGTACAAACTTGGGAGCAAAGGAGAATTACGGAATATAGTTATAGCGTGCTAGTACGCAAGGAAAACAAAAATTTGAAAACGGGCATTGGAGTTGGCCCAGAATCTATATAGAAGCTATGCAAATTGATGGGTGGTGTGGCCGTGAAGTATGAAAGGAAAACCTAAATGTGACTAGCGGCGGGGCAACAAGACATCATGGAAAGACGGCTGGCAAGAGAAATAAATTGAACCAACAATATAGCTACCGAACTGGCGAAAGAAGACTTTGCCCATGAAAAGTAAATAAACTAAGTCTGGGAAGAAAGGAGCAAGGGGGAAAGCGAACGGTTCTCCAGCGATGATGGAAAGGACAGGAGAGAGGGGTTCGGTCCCTAAGGCAGCCAAGAAAACGATGCGTCTGGACCAGTGACCCTGCTACTCAATCGCAGCGCACGCGGCAGGTTGTCAGGACCTGGGGCGACACACCTTCCGCGGACGACGGCGCCTGGAGAAGACCAGCTGCCAAGGCGCGTGCAGATCGCGAAAGTCGTGCTCGCTACTTCGACGCCGACAATCGTCTCGTACAACGCTGCTCGGCACCGAGAACAAGAGCGCTTTTCCCGTTCGGCCCGAAAACCCCCAACTCCCCGCCGCGTGACCCGCGGGCTCTCCTTCTGGCGACAACGAGCGACAGTGGCGCGGGAAACCCTGCGCTGGCGACGCCCTGTTGCGGCGTACAGGCACCTTGCGGCTAGGCCGCCGCGCTCGCCTAGGCAATGGATACATTCCCTACGGCGCTCATTTCCTTCTCCCCTTCTAGCCGAGAAAGAAAGAGGGAAGTGGAAAGGGCGGCGAGCGAGAGACTGATTCTGGCGCTGACAGCAGCACTGAGTGTTTTCACTCGTTAGGCTCCACTGCGCTTCTTCCGATAAAGTAAGCAGAGAGAATATTGTCGGCGATCCGTTGTGACACTCAATTTACTTTTCTCGCCACCTTTCCTGTCGAGCTGCATTCCCCCGCTCTCCACCCTCTTATTTTTTGCTCTCGCTCTCTTCTAACGCTGCTCCACGTTCGGGGGAAAGAAAGGGAAGCCGTGTCCCGAACGCATGCAGCTTGCCTATTTGCACCAATCACAGCTCATTGCATCCCCAGTGGCAAAGGGGAAGAGTGTAGGTTCCCAGCAGTAGCGACGGATGGTTCCCAACGCGTTTTGTTTCATTTATTTCTTGCGTGAGCTATGCTCCTTCAGAACTTTCTTGCCCTGTTTTCCTGGCTCTTTCCTGCTCCCTTTCCTTGCTCAGGCTAACAGTTACGTGTGCTTTAATTTTTTCTTTCCTTGCCTCCCCCTCTCGCATTTCCTCTTTGCGCAGCACACTGTGGGAGATAGCGGAGGGAATGAGGAAAAAGGGGGCGATCAGCTAGGATGGGCCTTGCGTGAACGCGAGACCAAAGTGCGAGGCTCCGCCCTCTTTTGATGTCGGGAGGACCAATAGGAACGCCGCCGCGGCCGCGCTGCGGGAAGCACGCGGGAGAAATCGGGTTGACGAGGAAGCGTGCAAGAGAGGCTCCGGGCGTGAGGACTGCAGAAACATTCGTAACCAGCTCAGAGTTACGTCACGTTACGTTGTACCGCTTGCTGAGCATCGACACTTACCTGTTTTGTGCTAACTAGTGGGTAATGAACGACAAACACAGCTCTTCGTAAATCCGGGAATATTACTTTTGAAAGCTAATTATAATTTTACTATATTTGCAATTAACCAATTATTTGTGGTTAAGTAGCTTTTTTAACGAGACAGGTGATGCAGTTTTTAGGGCTCATATTTGTAACGAAAACGGTATAGCAATCATTTCATCGGTCATGAAACAGCATATCTTCAAGCGCACACACTCATGCAAAAAAAAAAAGAGAGCGAGAAAAATGGTCGCATGAGTTAAATGGTGGGAAGGCGTCCAGGCATCACGACACTTACTTTAATTTATAGTTGAAGAACTCCATCCCTGAAAGGTGGGTAAGGAAGATGTAGCAGCGTGTAATCAAAGCATGTTAAATGTTTTCATAAATTTGATGATTATGAGTGCATTATTGAAGAAGTAACATCTAAAATTTTCAATTTCTTTTTAGATAATAATAAACGAGCCAATATTCGCTAACTGAGAAATTTAAAATTACCTGTCTAGTTTCATTGGCGTGTATAGTATGCACTTTAAAAAGGCGGTGGCATTTTCAAGAAAGCGATGCCGATCAATTACCGGACCAATAGGGATCTCTTATAGCTTTGATTTTCTAAACTGAATTCTACTGCTACTAGATTTATGCGCACCGGAAAACTTGACATTGATGTAGTCCTAATAAATATATGACAATAGTAGCGCATTTAAAAGTAATTGACGACCACTGACTGAGGAAGTTTTATAAATTGACGTTTTGCTTTAAACTGGAAAGCATTATTTTTGAAGCTACAAGTTCCGTCTGTACACAGTGAACGTTTCTAATCAATGCACTGTTTTGCGTGTTTTTACCAGGACCACCTCGATAAACTGACGACTAAGCATCTGCACAATGTAAGTTTCTTTGCAACTTTGTCTTAACTTTGCGCACAGTCTCTCGCTAAACATTTTTTTTTTTGCCTGCAGTAACACTGCCTCACGATAAGATGTATGTAATATCTCATTTGATGAAATGTTATCTTTCTACAAAAAACATAAAGTTGAATGTGGGCGGCCATATTACCCATATTTATTGTACAATAAAAAAACTCAAAGAAGCATAAGGATTCATGCCACCTATAAGTGAAATGGCTACAATTGTTCGGTAGAAAAAAATTATCGTAGCCTAAATTTAGAGTGAAGAGATCCATTTATTAATGACGCCTGTTACGAGCCATAGTTGAACTTTCCGAAAATCATGTGCGGCTTGCGGTACTGAGAAACACGTTCTCGCTAAAGATATTAGGGGTAAAACATTTTCCTTGAGATAAAATAGCCCTAAAAATTTGTTTTTCAATGAAATCGCAGGTGGTCAGCAACGGTTGGCTGAGTTGCTCAGGAATGACCCAAATATAGCATTTCTTGACTCTGGCATATGTTTTGAAAAAAAAAATAAATAAAAAAGAACGACAGCAAATGGCATCGACCGAGGATGGACGTGAAAAAACTTTTGGCGCACCACTATCTTGAATATGAGAATTGAACGTCAGTCTAATAGAGATAAAGATAAATAGAGATAAACATTCAGAGTGGAAAACAGCGCGATACAACGAAGGTGAGAGAGACCAAACAGGACTAATGCTTGTCGTGTTAGGTCTTTCTGGTTTTCATTAAATCACGTTTTTTTTTTCGCTGTGAATACGTATATATATAACACGCTCAAGTTCGCCCTCTTCTTATGAGATGCACATAGTTAGCAGCTTTCGATTTTTTTAAGTGTCTTATCACGCCTACCCTGCCCATTCCTTTCACACACGAGATCTTTAGAAGTTGTCTGCAATTTACCGATTCCCGCTCAATAAATGTATCGGTCTTTTACATTTCTAAGATTGCTTCTTCCTTACAAGAACGTCAGACCTTGGTGCACGTTTAAGAACCCCAGGTGGTCGAAATTTTCAAAGCCCTCCACTACGGCGTCTCTCATAATTATACGGTGGTTTTGGGACGTTAAACCCCACATATCAAATCAACCTTACAATAACGTGAATAAAATGGCGTAACACGCAGTACATACTTGTGTAATATGTATATTGTCACGTGGTCGTAACGCTGTAAAAGGCAATAAACAGCCCGGAAGACGCGGAACCGTTTATTGGACTTGTAATCCGAAAAGGAAAAGTTGAACAACAAGGAATGTGCGCTGTATACACTAATAGCGGCGGTCAGAGTCGTTGGTCATCGGTGACCTGATCATCGGCGGAACACGTCGTCTTTAATGCATCATTGATCGAGCCTTCCAGCGTTGTCAGATAAACTTGACAACTTTGGGCACGTCTTGCGCGTGATGCTCTAGCAGAACTGTTTGAAACAATAACAATATCTAGGGTTTTAAGCCACAAAACTACAGTGTGAATATTAGAGACGCCTCAACGGAGGGCTCTGTAAATTTCAACCATCTGGTGTTGTTCAACATGCACTGACATGGTACATGTACACAGGCCTCTTTCGCCTCCACCGAAATGCGACAGCCGTGGCGGGGATCAAACCCACGACCATCGGGTCAGCAGCCGAGCACCATAGCCACTGTCCAACCACGGTATAGGCTCATCTGAAACAATCGTGGCAGTGTTTCAGTTCTTAGACAGCACGTCTACGCAGACTGCTTAGAAAACCGCACCGAGCCCACGCGCTGTCCGAGAATCGGAACACGTTTAGACGACTTTTACGCGACGATGCGCCACCTCGCGTCGAGAAGAAAAAGCTAAAAGTAGCAAACGTAACAGTTGTAATTTCTGGCTTGTTTTGTGTTGAAATCAAAAACAATTGAACTTTACTCGCATAGAGCGTCTGGGAAAGCGTCTGCT